TGCTGCCAGAGCTGAACTCTGCACACTGTCTCTCCCTGCTCTCTCCCTCCAGGACAAGTCTTGTAAACAACCCCCAGCAAAGCGGCGCAGATACAACAGCAGTTCTGTTATCCCCAACAAATGTCCCAATAAAGTTGGCTGGCGTGCTCGCGCCACCGCATGTTCTTGCCAGTCAGCTTCACAGCTGGCGCTCAGGAAGGTTTGTTGGCACGTGTTGCAGGGTGATCTGCAGCCGGCACAGGGGTGGAAGGCACCACGCTGCCCATGCCCAGCACAGGCCCCTTTTGGAGGGACCCACACTGCGTGTACCTTGCTGCATCAAATGCTCACCTAGGTATGTACCCTGCACCTTTTCCCCTCCAGGTGGATTTTGCACATCTACCACTCATCCGTGTACCGAATACATGGTTGTATTTAATTATTACTTAATTTGTTGCTCTGTGTTTCTTAAATCTTAGTACTGTTTTTGACCAAAATCTGGTTTTCTTCTTAGGTCGTGGCTGCTCAAGTTACAATTTTAAGTTTCTTGCTTGGTATTTCTATTCAGTTAAAATTTAAGCAAACGGTTGGCTACATAGGTGTTTGCCTGTGTAGCCAAATTTTTTCTTTAAAAAAGTTATCCATGTGTGGCTTTGGCAGGATGGGTAATTCCAGGCGCTTTGTCACCGAACCATCACTTGGGAATGTGCCTGTACACTCCTGACTCACCTTAGTACCTCCTTATATTTCTGATGTTTTGCCTCTTCCCATTTTCTGTTTGTCATCCTTTGAAATTACAGACTTCTCCCTAGTTCTCTTTTTGTGTAGCTCAAAGGCTTTCAGGTATGTTAGCAATGGACTCTTGCCTGTTCTCACAGGGAGAACAGATATGAACAGTGGCCAAAACAATGGGCCATTTTATGTAAGAATGGGGTAAATGTACAACAATCCTTGCCCAGAATATTCTTCCAGACCTCAGGGACATGTTGGACCAGAGATGAAGTCTTTGGGTTTAATGGTCACTTGTGTATTTCTCCTCTTATTAATTTGCTCCTTGAGACCAAGTGAACTTTAAGAACTCATAATGTCCTATCACAGGGATCCTGAAAATCCTACCTGTCATATGAAGTTTTGTTCAATGATCCCTATTTCTTGCATTGAAACTGACAACAAGCAACAGATTGCTGACTAGCTTGGTCAGGACCCTCGTGGTTTTATCTTCTGTCATATCCTTTACCAGTCATCTTTTTTCCAGGCTGGAGGGTCCTAGCTTACTTTTTTGTTCCCTCTATGGAGATTACTCAAAACTTTTCATGATCTTTACCACGTGTTTCTGAGCTTTCTCAGTTTTTATGTCCTCTTCCAGGGAGAGGAACCAGAACTGCACATGATGCTTAGGATGTGGCATTTGTGGAAGCGTGTGCTCGCTGTTCTGTCCTCCAAGTCCTCCGGTTGATGTTTTTTAATGCTACTAAATATCGAGCTGATGTTTCAGTGGAATTGCCTGTCATAAACTCATTATTATGTTCCGAGTGGCAATTGAGAACCTGTTGTTTTACATATGATGCTAACATTATTTTTCCCCACATTAATCACTTTTATCTGCATTGAGTTTCATTTGTTGTTTTATCATCCAATTGCTCAGTCTTGTAAGGTCCTTCTGCAATTCTTTTTTTTTAGTTCGACCTAAACCAGTAGCTACCAGGTTGAATTGTATCCTACCTCAGTTAGTTTTCTAGGAGTCTGCAAGTCCTTGGCTGCTCTGAAGGGACCCTGAGCTAGTTGTGTCATTATGACTAGGTCATGGGAGAGGAATTTTATGTCAAAATGCTGATGAGCAGGATGACCGAGCACCAAAGAGAGAACAGCATTTTATTTCTAACATTTAAATAATTAAATATCTGTCCACAAAATGCTCTTACAGAATGCCTGTTGCCTGGAAAATACCAGCTTATGGGAGGGGAAAAAAGTGTCCTTAGGAACACAGCAATCAGACTTCTGGCAGCCTCCCCTGAATCTTTTCCAGGACTCATCAACCTAGAAATTTATCTATCTGAGAACCACTCCCTAAACTCCTATTTTCTGTGGCTTTTTAGGCTTCAAATTCACCAACTAACTTGTGCAACAAGGTGATACCCTGAACACTGTGTTACCAGGATTTCCTGGCCTTGTAGGTCTGAATGTCTCCTTGACCAGCTGTTAGTCTGGTACACTGTCCAGCTGTGTGCCCATATTTTCAGCTGGATACTTTAGGACAGTGAAGAGGGAGTTGGAAACAGCCTGAAATTGTAAAAACATCTGTTTCAGTTGTTCCAAGTAATTTTTAAAGCCATTTTACCCCTGTAGGACACTTTGCATTTTCAACTCTTCATTCTCCACCATCTGAATTTTTACAAATGCAAAATCTCCTGGGGAACGAAATTCCAGGTCCTGCATAGTAGCAAACAACACTGTGAACTTAACACTGTTGTAACATGGTAAATAAGAAATACAAATGTAATGACAACTACATAATTAAAGTTTCCTAAAATTCTTTTAAAACCCACTTGCTAATATATCAGCATTTCGTTAGTTTCTTCACAAAAGAAACCCTAAGAAAAAGACAGAAGTAAGGGAGGACAGGGCAGAAGCTGTTCAGTAACACCCCTGGTGCTGGATGCAGATGCATGGCATGTAAAGCCAGGTGGTGGGTAACTCAAATGACTCAAGGTGAGCTAACTGATGGATGGTTCTCAGCAGCTGTTTTTGAAATGTTGCAGGAATGTACATTTAATTAGGCAGTCTTGTAGGTTCCACACACTTGCCACTGAGAAGTGAGGCAGTCTGAGCTTGTAGATGAAGACCTACAAGACAGAGCAGCTGAGGACAGAGAGCGCATCAGGAGACAGTCACTGAGAGTTTTTCTGATTATAAAAGCACAGAAACCAGAAGGATTTAGGTTGGAAGGGGCCTTTGGAGGTCACCTAATCCAAACTCCTCAAAGCAGGGCTAAGTTCAAGGCTAGGCCAGTTTGTTCCAAGGTTTGTCCAGATCAGCCTTGAAAGTCTTTTGAGGATGGCACTTCAACCACTGCTCTGGACAAGCTTATCCTTAACCGTTCTCATGGGGAAGAAATTCTTCCATATGTCCAGATGGAGTATTCCCTGCTTCAACTGCTGCCAGTTGCCTCTTGCCCTACCACTATGTACCCTTGAGAACAGTTTGGCTCTGTCTTCTCTGCAACCAGTGCTGAGGAGGGCAGATGAAACCCCCCTGACAGTCTTCTCTCTCAGCTACCCAAACCCAGCTGTCTCTTCCCCTCCTCACTGATCATACTCTGGGCTTCCTAAGCATCTTGGTGGGCCTCTCCAGTTTGCTGGCAGATCTAATGGGGAACCCAGACTGGACTCAATACTGCAGATACAGTCTCACAAGCAACAAATGGAGGGGAATAACTACCACCCTTAACCCCCTGGCTGCTTCATGACAGTTTTGAATTTCAAAAAGTTTATGGCGCTGTATTTAGTCTAGAATAATCTTGGTGGGTTTCTCTGCCTTGTAACTTAATTTTCATACCCTAATTTTTCAAATAACCTTTCTCTTGATGTTTAAAAAAAACCAAAATCTGTGCAGCTGTGCAAAATGTGCAGATTTACCGAACAAGAAGATACAACTAGCTCTGTGCAAAGATCCCGTGAATTAAGAAAGAAAATAAAATGCTAAGATTTTTCAGTAATCATTGTTTAAGGGCTTTTTATGTGATGACACACTCGTGATGGTAATGTGAAGTACTTTGAATGGTGATTTAAAAAATATCATGTTTAATATGGGATGGTCTTTAATGCAAAAATATGTACCTTCTTTTTGGACCAAAAATGCAAACTGCTTCATGTGGAAGAGGACTGCAGCTTATAGGAATGCCTCAGTGAACCAATACTTAGTTGTTTTAGGAATTCGGGCTATGGAGACAGACAACATGTTTCTTAGCTCTGCTGGCAGTACAGAAGGGACCCAAAGGGCAGAAACTGCATCATGGTACAAAAAGAAACAGCCTGAAGCACCAAGCTTTGTCCACTGCCTACGCACATATGTCCTGCAGGGAAGGAGTGCTGGAGTGCATTGAATCCTGCTGTCTGGGTTGGTGTATAATGAGTCCACTCCTGGGGACACTATCAGAGTACTGGTGACACAGCAGTGCAAAATCCTGCTCATCCCCACCTCTGAGGTCTTGTCTAGGTTTCCCATGGTGCATTCTTTGCCATAGCTTGAAATCCTCTTAAACCTGCAGGTTAGGATTTCAGGTAATGGAGTTTCTGATCCAAAGGAGGGTTGAATCCAACGTAGAAAAAAAATTACTAATTGAAAGGATAACTATGATAGAGGGATGGGTGAAGATATGTTTTCTTAGGTTTGGTCTGTTGCTGAGGCCTCTGGATGGCCATCGTGGCCAGAGTTTGAGCACCATTCAGTGTAAGGCCCTCATAATTCTAACAGGTCTCTGTTTGAACAGGGTACCTATCACTGATGAAAAACCTCTCTAAACTCTGGAGAAAGAGGAGATATTTGAGCTTTCACCTTCTCTCAGAACTGCATGTTACTGGCCTGTAATCAGATCTCCACCTTTTCTGAAGAAACCTTCTTCTGTCTTTAATGTGACCAGCAGGTCCAGGGAGGTGATTCTCCTACTCTACTCTACTCTGCTCTTGTGAGACCTCACCTGAAGTTCTGCATCCAGCTCTGGGGCCCCCAACACAAGAAGGACGTGAACCTGTTGGAGTGAGTCCGGAGGAGGGCCATGAAAATGATCAGAGGGCTGGAGCACCTCTCCTATGAACAGAGGCAGAGAGAGCTGGGGTTGTTCAGCCTGGAGAAGAGAAAGCTTCAGGGAGACCTTAGAGCACCTTCCAGTACCTAAAGAGGGCTTGGAGAGGGACTTTTTATAAGGGCATGTAGTAATAGGACAAGCAGGAATGGCTTCAAACTGAGATGGTGGGTTTAGATTGGATATTAGAAAAAAATTCCTCACTGTGAGGGTGGTGAGGCACAGGAACAGGTTTCCCAGAGAAGTTGTGGATTCCCGTCCCTGGAAGTGTTCAAGGCCAGGTTGGACAGGGCTTTGATCAACCTGGTCTGCTGGAAGGTATCCCTACCCTTGGAAGGGGCATTTGAAGTAGATGATCTTTAAAGTCCCTTCCAACCCAAACTATTCTGTGATTCTTAGTGCTTATAGGATTTAAGCAAGAATCCACTTAAACAGTGAGCTGACACCTTCTTGAATGACTGTGTGCAAGAACAAAGAGAAACCAATCCCCCATTTTTCAAAAGGGTTGGACATTCCTACTTCTCTTCTGTAGCTTTAATTGCTCCTATGGATGTTTTAATTCCATCTTGAGTTTTGCAGTCTCAGTGAGTCTGTTCTGGTTTTTAAACTTGTCATTTGCATAGGGGAGTTTATAGTATGCTTATTTTTTATATGTTTCTATGTCTTATTTCATAGCTCTGAATCTGAGTGTAGAGAGACAAGTGCACTCAGCTGATCTGAAATGGTCTTCACCTTAGAAATATTGTTCTTTTAAACCTTAGTGATATATTTCATGGTGGGGTACAGCAGAATTTAAATTGGTTGCTGCAAAATCAGCTTAGGTTATCTGGATTTATATTTTTTATTGGTGAAAATAATTTAGAGCTTGTGAAAGGTGGCAGATTGACAACCTTGAAGTTAATCTGATTGTCCCATTATTTCCCAGCATCTCTCAGCCTTTTAAAGACATCTGCTCTTTTCTAATCTCCCATAACTCAGTTTCTCAGATGACTGCTAAGTCTTCTGGGACAGTGAAAGCCACTTCTCTGGGTATCCTTAGATGATGTTTATCAGGCTTGTCTAATTTGAAGATGTCTAATTTATTTTGTTAGGTGCAACTTACTTCATTACTCTGTTTCTGCTCTTGTCCCTGAGACCTTTTTTTCATTGATATTATGTGTATGAACAGCCTCCTTTTTTTTTAAAGGGCCAGGTCATCGGTTTAGATACATTAATTACTGTATAGAGAACACAGGTTCAAAAGAAATAACAAGTAATTAAGCTTAAAATCATCTGCTGAATCTTTTTTCTTTAATGTATTTATCAGTGTTTTCTTTGGGCCATTCAAGAAGGTGCAGAGAATGATATCTTGTTATCCTGAGATTCTCTTGTGCAGTTGAATCTCATTTTGCACGTATTTCTTCCTTATATCTATGTATTCTTTTACACTTACTTTAGGAAACAGGAAAAGTTTACAGTATTTTTTATGAGTCCTTTTGTTGCTTAAAAGTCCACAGTGAAGGATCACTGATGTGGCTAGGAGGCTGGAGCACATGGCCTGCAAGAAGAGGTTGGGAGAAATGGGTTAGTTGAGCCTGGAGAAGAAGTGGTAGGTGACATCTAATTGCTCTCTTCCAGTAAATAACAGGTGGCTTAGAAAAGACAAAGCTACTTTTCAGGGCAAAGTGATGGGACTCACAGCAAAGGATACAAAGATGCAGCAAGGGATACTCCAGTGGGACATAAGGAAAAAACTATTTCCCACAAAAAGAGCTGAGCACTGTGGCCAGTGGCCCAGAGAGATCTTCAGAACCTGTCTGAGTGAGGCCCTGAGCAAGCTGATCTAGGCAGGAAGCAGGGTCTGCTTTGAGGAGGGAGTTGGACTAGCTCACCTCCAGAGCAGATTCAAACCTTGGTCTTTTTCTGATTCTAGGATAACTTCCTGGGTGATGTCAGTGATGTACAGACAACCACAGACCCCCCAAGAGTCTTTTGCTTAGTACACCTTCACCCACCCTCTGGCTACCCAGACATGGAAGTACTGCATTTAGCTAATACGGAAGCACACGTACATGTCTGACTCGAGTTAAATGAGCCTGCAATGGTCTAACAACACAGTTACTGGATCCCCTGCTGACTATGTTCAGCAGATTAGTATTGCTAGTGCTTTTCATTTTCTGTAATTCTAGTTAGTTCAGTGGAATCTACCCAAATGAGGTAGGAATAACTTCATTGTTAATTCAACTGTATCATAAATTAGAGGATAAAAGAGTTGAAACTGCTGATGAAGTTGTTAATGTTAGATTGCTGTAGCAGAAACAAGCCTCCCTCCACCTTGGCGTTTTGTACCACTATGCCACACCATTACTTAATGAACACTACAGAAGGTACAAGGCTGTTGAATTGTGTCCTGTGTTTCAAAATGCTGTATTCCTGGCTGAAAGCCACTGCAGTACATGAGTAATGTGAGGCATCTACAGATCTGAGTTGTTCCCATTTCCATTAAGTCATACGTTCAGCTGTAAATGTTACATTGTCTCTGGAGGCAGAGGATGAGTTGTACATAATGACTGTGAATTTCAGATAGAAAAGGGCAGATCTGAGCAGTTTTAGAACATTTTCATTTCCTAAAAGAAAAATAACAAAATTATATTAGGGCAGGATTATCTGGTTACTGGACAGCACAGGAAAACCCATGGTCCCTTTACCTTTGGCCAAGAGATGGCCACCCCCCCAAATAAGCCCCAGCCCAGTACTGTGCCCAGGCCTGAACTTTGACCAGGGGGGTATGTTAAGACGGTGCTAATTGGTATGTGGCAAAATCAGGGGGTGCAGGAGATTCAGTTTCTCTGTTGTCTCAAAAAGGAAGTGACAATATGAATGGAATGATACCTGTGAGACACTTGTCCTGGTGGGACTACAGTATGTTCCAAGGAAGTTGGGAAGTTCCTCTCTAGGGAAGAAATACTAGGGGAAGGTGTTGATAGCAGGCAAGTGGTTTGCTTTGTTCTAGATGGCTTATGAGACCATCTCAAAAAGAAATGTTTTGTGAAGAGAAGTAATGCGTGCATGTGCTGATGGGCTGCCAGTATGTCCCACAGAAGGTCATCCCATCCCATGGAGATATTTCTGATGCTCTAGAACATCTTAAAGACAGTCAGAGACAACATTAAGCCAACTGAACTTTACTTCCCTCTGGTTGGACTTCAGTGTTTAACTGAATGGCTTCTGGTATTAGCCAATCTTTTCTTTCTGATAAAAAAGTTGTTTGATGTTTTTTTTAAGCAAAGTCTTTTCAAGCAACACTGGAAAAAAAAGGTGAGATAAAGAAAAACCTAGGAAAAGTGTGTCAAATAACAAAAGCAGACATCACAACTGATGAACAATTTATTTGCTTCCTATGGAGAATCCAGTTATTTTGCTTTTCACGTCCAAATAGGATTTGGATCTACATCCACTGTTTGAGAAAACTCACGTAATACCTCACTCAAAACCCTCAAGTAAGAACTAACTCTTTAATGTTTTCCTATGACAAATTGCAACAGATCATGGAAGTGACATGCTTTGTTAAGAACTGATGTCATACAAAAGGATTTGCCAGGTTAAAATAATACAAGACCTCTGATCATGCTATTACAGAGACTGCTGTTCCCTTGGAGAAGAAATATGAGGGATAATGTAATACAAATGGTGAGTCTGAGCACAGGAAATAACATTAACATTTTGTACTCCAGGTTGCCTTGGTACAGTGCTGCGATAACAGGGTAATGCTGTTGACCTCTGTGAACTACATTGAAAGGAGACCTGAACTCAGCCCAATTCTTTCCTGAAGTTTATAGAAAAGCACATTAAATCAGATTTAATCTGAAAAGGTAAACATAATGAAACAGGGTATTTTCCTGATATATTCTTTGTAGCATGCAAGTGTTCTACAAAAAATGATGTCATTTTCCATCTCTCTGGATTAATTTCCGGGCTGTGCTCTGAGGCAAGAAAGGCTGTTTTTCAAATCAACTCTGTCCTCTAAACCAAGCGTGTGGGACCATGGAAAGAGTAGAACCGATTGGGTTGGAAGGGACTTGGGGAGGTTGTGCAGTGAGCCCCCTGCACCATGAAGGACCAAGTTCCCTGGTTCTTCAGGGTCCAGGTGCATCTTGTGAACGTCCCAGATAGTCCACTGTCTCGCTGGGCAGCTGCTCCAGTGCTTAACCTGCTCCTGCAGGGAGGGCATGCAGCAAAATATGGCAAAAAAAAAAAAAAGACAGCTGGCCCTTTCAGAGAATCATGAAATCATTCGAGTTGGAAAAGACCACTAAGATCATTGAGTCCAACTGTCAACATAAGCTCCACTGTGTTCACCACTCAACCATATCCCCAGGTGCTACATTCACATACTTTTTGAACGCTTCCAGGGACAGTGACTCCACCACTTCCCTGGGCAGCTCTTTCCAATGTTTGACAACTCTTTCAGTGAAGAAATTTCACAGAATCACAGAATATGCCAAGTTGGAAGGGACCCACAAGAATCATCAAGTCCAACTCCTTGCCATCCCCGAGAATCACACCATGTGCCTGAGAGCATTGTCCAAATGTTTCTTGAACTCTGTCAAGCTTGGTGCTGTGATCACTTCCCTTGGGAGCCTGTTCTAGCATCCAGGCACCCTCTGGGTGAGGAACCTCTTTCTAATATCAAACCTAAACCTTCCCTGACACAATTTCAGGCCATTCCCTCAGGTTCTGTCACTGGTCACCGCAGAGAAGAGATCAGTGCCTGCCCCTCTTCCCCTCACAAGGAAGTTGTAGACTGCAATGAGGTCTCCAGTCTCCACTTCTCCAGGCTGAACAGACCAAGTGACCTCAGCTGCTTCTCATGCGGCTTCCCCTCAAAGCCCTTCACCATCTTCATTACCCTCCTTTGGACAATCTCTAACAGCTTAATGTCTTTTTTATGTTGTGGTGCCCAAAACTGGACACAATATTCAAGTTGAGGCCACACCACTGCAGAACGGAGCAAGACAATGCCCTCCCTCAACTGGCTGGCGATGCTTTGCCTGATGCCCCCCAGGACATGAGTGGCCCTCCTGGCTGCCAGGGCACTGCAGACGTATTCAACTTGCCATCGACCAGGACCCCTAGATCCCTTTCCGTGGGACTGCTTTCCGGAATCTCATTCCTCAGTCTGTACGTACATCCAGGGTTACCCTGTCCCAGGTGCAGAATCCAGCACTTTCCCTTGTTGAACTTCATATGGTTGCTGATTGCCCAGTCCTCTCATTTGTCGAGGTCTCTCTGCAGGGCCTCCCTGCCTTTGAGGGAGTCAACAGCTCCTCCCAGTTTTGTGTCATCTGCAAACTTGCTTAGTATCCCTTCCAGTCCTGCGTCCAAGTCATTTATGAAGATGTTGAAGAGCACAAGGCCCACGATGGAGCCCTGTGGAACCCCACTAGTGATGGGTTACCAGTCTGATGTTACTCCATTCACTATTACCCTCTATGCTTGACCCGTGAGCCAATTGCTCACCCATCTCATGATGTGTTTATCCAGCTGTGTGCTGGACATTTTGTCCAGAAGGATCCTGTAACAGTATCAAAAGCTTTACTTGAGATCCAAAAAGATTACATCACTTGGCTTCCCTTAATCAACTGGGTGGGTTACCTTGTCATAGAAGGAAATCAGGTTTGATAAGCAGGACTTTCCTCCCATGAAGCCATCCATGCTGGCTGTGACCAGTGACTGGGTTGTCTTTTGGGTGTTTTTCAATACCTCCCAGAATAATCTTCTGCATAACTTTACCAGGCAGTGAAATGAGACTGACAGGCCTGTAGTTTTCGGGGTCCTCCTTCTTGCCCTTCTTGATAATCAGAACAACTTTTGCCAGCTTCCAATCATCTCGGAGCTCCCTGAATTCCCAAGACTGCTCAAAAATCATCAAGAGAGGTTTTGTGATGACATCAGCCAGCTCTTTGGGGATTTTAAACCTTCCCTGGAACAACTTAAGGCCATTTCCTCTTGCCCTATTGCTTGCTACTGGGGAGAGGAGACTGACCCCCACCTGGCAACAACCTCCTTTCAGGTGTTGTAGAAAGCAATAAGGCCCCTCTTGAGCCTCCTTTTCTTCAGGCTAAACAAATGCAGCTCCCTCAGCTGCTCCCCATAAGACTTGTGCTCTACTGTTTTTCCACCAGCTTCATTGCCCTTCTCTAGACACTCTCCAGCACCTTCTTGTAGTGAGGGCCCCAGTGAGGGCACCTCCGCAGTACTGGAGGTGCGACCTCACCAGTACCGAGTACAGGGGGACTATTGCTGGCCACACTACTTCTGATACAGACCAGGATGCCATTAATCTTTTTGGCCACCTGGGCACACTGTTGGCTCATGTTCAGCTGGCTGTTGATCAACAGCCCCTGGTCCTTTTTCACAGGGCCACTTTCCAGCCACTCTGCCCCAAATCTGGGGTGTTGCATGGAGTGGGGTGTTGCATGGAGTAATGCTTTATATAGCTGTACTGAAATACTGTATTTTCCTGAAATACAGTATATGTGTTTAACACCATCATCATCGTGGCTAGGCTTCGCGAACGAAGATTTGGGAAGGCTCTAACCACATTTGTTACAGGCATGTTGGTGACTTATGAGGCCAATACGAGATAGACATATCCGATTGCAAAAGGCACAGCAGAAAGACTCTTTAGATGGTGTATTCTGCAGAACACGATTCTTTCTGCGTTGCCTTTTCTCCTCGAGAGTGATCCTGCGTGTGTTCTCAAAGGAGACAGCTGCGTTATAGATGGTGTGTCTCCAGGCCTCCCGATTGGAGGCCAGAGTAGACCAGTTATGGTGATCAATATGGCCAAGGCTGAGATGTTGTTTCAGGGAGTCCTTGTATCTTCTCTTCGGGGCTCCTCTCATGTGTCAGCCAGCGACAAGTTCACCATAAAGCAAGATCTTAGGGAGGCGGTGGTCCTTCATCCTGGAGACGTGCCCTGCCCATCGCAGCTGTGTTCTCATCAACATGGCCTCAATACTTGTGACTGCTGCTTGCTCTAGAACAGATGTGTTGGTCACATAATCTGACCAGTGGATGTTTAGGATTGTGCGGAGGCAGCGTTGATGGAAGCGTTCTAGGAGACGCAGGTGGTGGCGGTAGATGACCCATGATTTGGAGCCATATAAGAGAGTCGACAACACTATGGCTTTGTAAACACTGATCTTGGTGCTTTTCTTCAAGTGTTTATTACGCCATACTCTTTTGTGGAGTTTTCCAAAAGCACTATATGCCTTTGCTAACCTGTTGTCTATCTCTCCGTCAATCTTACCATCCGAGGAGATGAGGTAATTAAACTGTTGGACTGATTTGAATTCTGATTGGCCAATGGTGATGTGGGGATGATGGGGGACTTCCAGAGGTGCAGGTTGATGGAGAACCTCTGTCTTCTTTAAGCTGATTTCCAGCCCAGAGAGCTCAGCAGCATACAGTCCATGGGACAACAGAGAGGTCTCAGTCAGAGATGAGTGATTACCAACAGATTACCATTGATTTACAGAGGGAATGTAGAGAGATGTATATGGACAATAACTTTTATCAGCTTACTGCTGAAACTGCCAGTGGAGGAGCCGTGCCGTGCACAGCAGATGCTGATCATAAAAGGATTATAAAAAGTCTCAAACAGCTGGTAAGGACTACACCTGAGTTTATGGCTGGTGGCACCAAGCAAAGATGCCAACTATTGTTTCTTAGCAAGATCTGAGAACAGGAATCTAATGAATGCATCATGTTTACTGGAAATCACTCCATTTGCCTCCAGACGCGAGTGGGCTTGAAGATCACCAATGGAAAGACTGGCTCTGGCTCTGGACCTGCTCACTCCCTTAGGCCTGGAAGATGTGTGCTACCAGCAACAAATTGCTCTCACATTATGGCACAGGTAAGGGACACCCAGAAACAACCTGTCAAAAGAAGGCAAAGCAAATGCAACCTGTGATAGCAGCTTCACAAGATCCTGTTATGTCAGTGTTCTTTGGAGGGGGGTCACCTTGTTCAGTAAACCATTCAAAACCTCTGTCTCCCTACCCCTGAAGGGTGTAGGCTGGGTCTGGAGGAGCCCAGGATACTGAGAACAGTGCCTGAGCAATATTTTGTCAGAGGTAGGCAAGCCGAACTCGTGCAAATGCCAAATAAAAGCCACTCTTTCCAATATGCCCTGCGCCCCTGCAGTGCTTTCCTGGCAGAGGGGAAAAGCTTGTGGGGCCTGGCCATGGATATGCTCTTAAATGTTGCATGTCTGCTTCTTCCTTTCCTTCACAAAGGGCTCTGTGCTTCCCAGCAGAGAAGTGAAATGGGTAGCAAGCCCCTGGAGAGGCTCTGAGACAGGGGAAGCTTTAGGGAGAAGGGATGAACGGGGTGGCAAGTGGGAGGGCAAACGATGAGTGCTATTTGAAACTTAGGAAGCTAGGAAAGACTGCTGGGAAACAGAGGAATCCTGCAACATTTGGAATAATAAACAAATTAAGATATTGCAGCTGGCTGTGGGTCAGAGGGATGTTAGAAAGATTTTGAATGTCCAATATCCAACATTAAAAGGAAAAAGTGTCCCTGGGGCATTGTGTGTATGCTCAGAGCTGGAACTGCAGCTTTCCAGGAATGAGCAAAATGATAAAGCACTGATGCACTTACTGGTTCCGGCTCCTGAGGGAAATGTGTCCATGCAAGAGCAGCTCTCTCTAGTGCTTGAAGGGAGCAATTAAGGCCATTGCTAGCAAGCGATGTTCATTCTTAACAGCAACCGCCTCTGCAGACAATGTTGAAGACATGCCAGTTCTGGGCTTGGGAATGATGATGAACTCTTGTGAGGACAGGAAGTACCAGAACAAACTGGTGAACAAAATAGTAGGTACCAAACCAAAATGGCACATAAAAGAGCAGCCTGTTCCAATAGGCTCAGTTGGTTTGTGTTCAAGAGTTTGGAAGGGATATAAGCCTCATGCTGAATGGCTGCAAGTGAAATTATGTTATAGTGTATAACACATGGTGAAAATGCATACCCTATATTCAATATTTATTAAATATATATACTGAGATTACTTTTAGTGGTTTAAATTTATGTTAAATGTTTATGCTTAATTTATACTTTATTATTTTTAAATTTTACTGATTATTGGTTATATGCATTTTATATTATAAATTATATTACATTCACTATATGCTCTATATATTGTTATATATTTATATATATAAACATATAAAATATGCATATGGGATATAATTATATGTTAAAATGTTATGTCATATTACATTACATAATACCATGTCACATATTATTCAGGGAATCATGGAATGGCCTGGGTTGGAAGGCACCCCAAAGACCATCTACTTCCAACAACGCTGCTGTGGGCAGGGACACCTTTCACTAGACCAGGCTGCTCAGAGCTGCATCCAACCTGGCCTTGAACACTTCCAGGGATGGGATATCCACAACTCCTCTAGGCTGTTCACCTGTTCCAGTGTCTCACAACCCTCACAGTAAAGATTTCTTCCTAATATCTTACCTAAACCTAACCTCTCTTTCAGTTTGAAGCCATGTCACCCTGTCCTGCTCTCAGTCTTTCTTGTAGGCTCCCTTCATGTACTGGAAGGCCACAATTTGGCCACCCTGAAGCCTTTTTGAATTATTATGTTTTATTGTATAATACAATGTAAACAGTTTTCCTGTTTACATTATAGATTGTATAAAATATGTGTATAATATTGCATTATACAGTCTATATAAATAATATTACATAATTTATAAAATAATATCTATTACATATTAAAATTAATTTCTCACTGAATCTTGATTTTGTGCTAGAGGGTTACAGAGCCACAAAATGCTGAGTGTCTGTTCTGGTTGGCTTTTTTTTTCAGATTAAAAAAAAAAAAGCTTTCAGAGTGATTCGCAGAATCAAGAGTTAGTAAACCTTATACCTGCAGCTGGCAAGTAGGTTTAACTGATCATTTGAAATAAAAAAAAATTAAAAATCAAAAAAAAAAGAAAGAAAGGACAACTTAATGTAATTAATAACTCAAAAAACTTGGATGAAGTCCTTTCTTAGCAGCTATAAAAATGCAGAATCTTCTTATGGCTACAAATCTGCCCATGATTGCGCAGAGTAGACTGAGAAATTAATTTTCAGGGTGGCAAGAGATCAGAAATGTCAAAATGTTTAAAAACATTAAGCTTCGGCAGTTGATCTGTATAACATATTGAATACTTGGACATTTGGAAAGGGATGTGAACAGTGATTTAACAAAATTTGTGGAGACTATAAGGCTATTTGTTTTAGTTAAAAACCTGAGACTATTACAAGGCAAGTTGAACAAGGAAGGAAGAACCTAATGAGAGACAAGTAAATGAAGGGGTACCGTGACAAATGGCCCTCCACAGTCAATACAAATGAAAGAGAACTGGAGGGAAAAGATGAAACTTCAAACACTTGCATTTTAGACGGAGAATACCATGGTGGTGAGATTTGGGCACTGCTGTAAGCAGGTCTTGGGAGACCTCTGCTTGGTGAGTGATTCCGGGAGACTAAAACACTGAGATGTCACCTTGAGACACTAACTGGGAAAATGTAACTATTCCTTTCTCTCTTTTTGAACTGGTTTTATTTGCTTCTCACAAATGCAGACCCCTTTCAGAGGTTCTCATGAAAGAAGACAAGAGCCAGCAGCCATCCTTCTAGTTGGACAGGAAGAAAAGGTGAACCCCCCAGAGGGTGACTAAGCACTGGAACAGGCTGCCCAGAGGGGTGATGAGGTATCCACCTCATATGTGAGATTCAGATATGAGCAATATGATCTAACATCCCAGTTGGTCTTTTTTGGAGCAAGGGGTTGAATGAGATCATCTCCATTCCAGCCTGAATCATTCTGATCCCCAGGACAAGATTCTGACTCTCCCTTCTTAGCCATCAGGATACAGAATTAGATGACTTTCTCATTTGGCTGGACAATTAATTTGTACTGATCTCAACATTTCTATATTATATAAAAAATACAAATCAGATGCCTGGTTCAAATCTTGCCTAGTGCAACATAACCCAGTTGTTTTTATTGCATGTCATGAATTGGACTTTGCAAGTGGACTTTCCACATGGACTGGAATTTGCAAGTAGTATTGAAAGATTATGAGATACAAAAGATAAATATTGTCAGTCATTTTTTAGGAAAAGCCTGTATATTTCTAGAGCATGTTCTGAGTCTTCAGATATCCTGGCAATAAATTACTAAAAGTAGCCAAAGCTGCCCCATGAGTAGCAATATGAAAACTAAGGTTCCTTTTTGATCGGCTTTGAGCAGGTGCAGTAATAGACAAAATCTAACTCCAAACTGAGAGGATTTGATGAATGTAAAGCTGGACATGACCCAGCAAGGTGTGCTCACAGCCCAAAAAGCCAGTTGTGTACTGGGCTGCATCAAAAGCAGCGTGGCCAGCAGGGTGAGAGAAGTGATTCTGCAACTCTACTCTGTTCTGGTCAGACCCCACCTGGAGTACTGCATCCAGCTCTGGGGTTCTCAGCACAAGAACAATGTGGACCTGTTGAAGCTAGTTCAGAGGAGGGCCACCAAGATGATTAGAGGGCTGGAGCACCTCTCCAGTGAGGAAAGGCTAAGAGAAGAGGAGGCTCCAGGGAGACCTTAGGGCAGCTTTCCAGTGCCTGAAGGGTACCAACAAGAAAGCTGGAGAGGGACTTTTCACAAGAGCATAAAGTGATAGGACACAGGGGAATGGCTTCGAACTGAAAGAGAGTTGATTCAGACTAGATATAACAAAGAAATTTTTTCATGATGAAGGTGGTGAAACATTGGCACAGGTTGCCCAGAGAAGCTGTGGATGCCCTATCCCTGGAAACACTGAAGGACAGGTTGGATTTTGTGTAACCTGATCAAGTTGAAGATGACCCTGCTCATTGCAGGGGGCTTGGACTAGCTGACCTATTAAAGGTCCCTTCTAATGCACACCATTTTGTGATTACTATCTTTTTCAGTTGCTCCCTACAGGTGTGCACATCTCTGAGGCAGTGCTGGTGCCTTCTGGCATCCTTCAATGTGACACCTAGTGCTGTGGCATCCAGAGAAACCTGGAGAAGCCATCACATCCTCCAAATGACACACGGATCACACTGAAGTTGACATCAACTCTTACCAATTTCCACAAGGCCGCTTTCCACTTTCTGAAACAGCTGGGTCCCTAAACACTAAGTTAAAGGTTATTTTTATTTGAGTAAAAAGCATGCTTCTGACTAGTGTTGATAAAATGGATGGAGTTTTGTTTGAGTTTTTCTTTAATTACTATTGTCTCTGAAAAGGTGAAACTTCAAGTTATTTCTCAGGTTCAATGCAAAATGTTACCTTGCTCAGGAAGGAGAACTGGCGCGTGAAGGGAAGGCAAGGTATTTCCTAGGAACTGAAATTTAATTGTGTGATTCTCTTTTATGGATGTTTGCCTTACTGATAAGAGTGACAGAAAATGAGAGTACAGAAGGAGTGACATGCACGTGTTCTCTGTCTCAGATGAATTCATTTTCTTGTAGCTGATCCTCTGAATTTGCTGCCTTTACCTAGCTTGGTAACATCTTTGCAGGTTGGTTGATGTTAACTTTCCTTTCTTTTCCTCTCCCCTTACCCTGCCCTGCTCTCCTCCCTCCATTTCTACCTCACCACAAGGAATCTGGTAGATTTATCCTTAGGCACCAGCAGATGACTCAATTAGAGAAGATACCTAAATGCTTATCTTCCGGATTGAAAGAACTTAATTTATTTGAAATATTTGACTACAAAGTATTACATTTTGACTAGCTGCTTGAATCACAGAGGATAATCTCTTTATGTTACTGATGTTGGCTAAACTTTGCCAGTGTTGCCATCTACTGAGCAATGGTATTCTTGACTTGGCAGAGTCTATCAGGGAACCAGGGGCAGGACAGGTCTGTGGAGCTGGAGGTAATGTACAGTGGCAGGCGGGTCTGTTTAAAAAAGGCTGTTTGCCCTTAGTGTGAACCTAACCTCCTTAAGAAGTTAAGGACATTCCTAAGGATTCTTTGGAGACATTTTTTTTTAATTAGAAACAGGGAGGTCCTATCCTTTTACTAGTTTCTACTTACGTAGAGAAAAATCTGGCCAAATGTTTAAAAAACCTTTGGTGCTTTGCCCATGTAGTTTAAGCTGGATATACCAGCTGTTTACTTTCATGAATTAATGGGTATCCTTAAGCTTTCACCATTTGTTTAACATCATCAGCATTAGAGGACAAAGGGATGTAGGTATTGAGAAACAAAATGCTCCTTCAATTTCTCTATTACATTAGAGCTATTGTTATATGTCATGTGGCAAAATCTCAGATCACTTGAAAAAGTGTCCTGAAGAGACAATCTATTTATTGAAATTAATTTCAGTGACAGAGATGAGATGACCTTGTTATAAATCAGGACTGTCTACTCTCAGATTCATACATTAGCTCTCTACTATTGCCCTGATCCAGCAGATCGTAACTTTAAACCACACAAAGGCTGCAGCGTGTTTATTTATGGTCATTAAGCTAAACACACACTTCAAATACTTCAATTTACTTGTTAAAGACAACTTTCCACTCTCATTCCAGGTGGTACATTGCACAGAACTTACTTAAAAACACATGAAATCAAGTACAGCTCTGCAGTTACAGATGCCTGCTAGCTGAGGAGGGAGAGAATACACCAACAGTTGTGAGTGCTCTTCCTCCTACCAGCACTTGCACTTTTGTATTTAAAAGGAGTCTGTACTGGCCCATGATGGTGTCACTGACGAGACTCCTTGGGTATGATCCACATGTACTCCAAATCACTTGGAAAAAAACTGGGAAGGTGGAAAGGCATATTTAACTGAATAGCTGCTCAGGGCATGTAAAGTATTGTAGGAGAAAGAGGTATAAAGAAGAAATTTTTGGTAGTCTTTCAAATTTCCAAGTCAAACCTTTATCGAAAGGTTTTAATTTTCAAAAGTCAAACCTTTGACTTCTCATCCATCCTTGTTTGGCTTTGTTTACTGGCAGAAAAATAATGGTCTTCTCTGTCAAAAGAAGATTTCAAGAGAAATCAACAGCATAAACTGGAACTTCTCCTTCAGGAGGCTGCAATAACTTCTTGTTCTTTTCCTTCCAAAGAACTTGTAAGCTCTTCCAGGAACACAGTCAGCAGTTGTACTGGTGGAGACTGTTTCTGCCTCCTCCTTTGCCACCTTCACCATGGTGGGTCCTCACCACTCGTACCCCAGTTTGCCTAGTTACATTTATGCTTTTCCCATAAAGAATTTACCATGGGTACTCGGGGAAGCATCCAGCTGTCACTTTCTGAGAGCTGGTGCATGAATTGTAGATAGCTCCAGCTAGCAATGAATGGATCATGTCACCTGTCAGTGAAATTCATGTCAAGAAATACATGGACTCTTCAGGTCATTTCCAATGGGCAGGGACCTTTACATTTATTACTGCCAGTACAGAAAGAAGAGCAGAAATGGCCTTGAGATAAAGCTGTTATTTATACCCCAAGTCCTGCAGAAGATGTCTAAGCAGTTGCACTCCAGCTTTTGGAAACCTTATGGGTGTAATGGTGGAAAGAATACCAGAATAGTCTGTTTCAGCCTTAGTCTTGATTTGGGTCCAAGTTTATCCTCTATGTATTTATATATATGTATATTTTAATATAAATAATATTTTAATATATATAATATAGAAAACCATTTTTAAATATAAAATAAAATGCATATAAAATTTAAAAATACATCAGGAATAACTGAGTGCCTGTAGAGTAACTGTTCAGAAGGCCAGGACGAGGGTAATTTTTTTTTTCCTTGATGATGGAGGAGAGGGGAGCGGCAACTCAACACAGATACACTTATTGGCACACCCCTACTAAGACTGGGCACCACTATTGCTCACTGAGAGCAGCAAAACTGCTCTTGCAATGCTTAACATTCAAACTGACGACACTTCCAGTAAGACTCCATTTTGCACGATGCAGAGGATAAGGGAGCTGAATCACAGCACTATTCACTGTGGCAACTTACCAGCTGTGCTGTAGGGCTACTCACTTGGAATACATGAGTCCTTTGTTCCATCTCTTTGTTTTTCCAAGTGCTCTGACTGCCCTTGTGAGGGAGTGGTACTTGACGATACAATTTTATCTCAGAAATGGGGTCAAAGTAAGTGCAATCAGAGAAGGCTTTCCTATTCAGGTGCAGTGACGTAAAGCATACCAGGGAGCAGGGAAGGAAAGGCAAATCCAGGTACTCACACTTGCCTGTAAAGTCTTTGACCCTACAAGGTGGGCAGGGGAAGCACATGTATTGACCAAACTGGGATCTGTTGTGCAGCAGTGTGGACATCAAATGCAGAGCAGAAGTGTACTGTGACATATTCCAGAGGAAAGTCCCTGTCAGAAATGCCATCAAATAAAAATGCATAATAAAAAATTAAATAATTAATTTATTTAAATAATAAACCCCTCATCCAGTGTAAGGCATTTCTTGTGCTTGTACTGTTTCCATGCATTTTCAGAACTAAATGATGCTGGTGTTAATGAAGAAATGGTTTAAATTTCTCATAAGGATGATCTGTTTTCGTTCCCGACACACACGCTAATCCATATCAGCATGGATTTTGTGCTGAACTTGAAGTCTTAGTTTTGTTGAGGAAGTTCAGAAGGGGAATATTTAGTAAAAATTTGCGGATCTCAATAATGCAACTGGCAAGTGGAGAACTCCTCTAAATCACCTAGGCAACAAGATTTGGTTCAGTTACATTTCACTGATTTTGCCAAGAGGACCTGCAACATACTTGGCATATCTCTGTTAGTGAACCACAAATAATTTAAAACACAGGAGGTCGCTGAATAAGAAAATACAAGAATATTTGACAGCAAAAGATAACGAATGCTCTGTGTGGTGGCAAACACTAAGTATAAAATGCAAAGTTTTCAGAGTGTGAGGAGTTATCTCTGAATTCCCATTTGGTGAAACACAACTGCAATGAATACTTATTGCCACCTTATTTAGCACCATGAACAAAAGGAACTGTTATAAATAAACAACACTATGACAGTTTTGCTGCTGTTAGCTTGACATTCTCATCTGCAGTCAGTCAAACTGAAAGACAAAGTAATCAGGGAAAAGACTAAGTCAAACATCCAAATTACGGAGTTTCTATTTTTGTTTTAACTACCGCCATCACTGATTTGTCCATGACTTCTGTGAGGAAGCTACTGGTGAAATTTGACAGGTGTCAGCATGGCATTTGCATGCTTCCAGATTGAAATGAAGGCTTTAAACGTAAATTTACATGACTCGCTTAATGTTTCCTTAGCATGTCAGCAAAACTTTGAAGTGATAGGAAAGGGGTAAAATTTACAAAGAAGAGCAACATACATTTAAGAGGATGCAATTAAGTAATATGCAATACACACATACATACACACAACAGAGGCAGGTTGTCTGTAAAACTTCATGTGTTTCATGTGTTTCTCCTTCTGGTGGCTCTCACTGCAGTACCTCACCTCTATCCTCTGATGTAAGGATGAAACTACTTCTCCAGTCCAACTGTTCTGATAATAGCATGTGACTCACTTCCAACCTACTTGTCCTCAGACCTAGTTTGACAGCCACTTTATTCTTTGGAGCCAGCAAAGCAAAACTTTAAATGTGTTGCTAACTTACACAAAAACCCACAGTGTGTATTTAGTAACCCATCTGCTCTGCAAACAAGAACTCAGGTCAGAGGTGTACTGAACCCTTTGATTTAATCCAAGCAATATGCATGTTTGTAAAGTATTTACAAGGTCAGTATTTGATGAAAACAAGACAGGATGCACACTGCCTAGGTAAGCTCAGAGGCTTGTTTCCCCCATCCTCCCAAAGCTGGCATTTTGCAGGGCAGCACATGCTCTCAGTGCCTGTGCACAGTCCTCTCCGTCTCTCTCATTCACTTAGGGCTAAATCTTCCCCTCAGGAATGCATTGGGAAGGCTAGAGGAGATACCTATCCAGAAGTCTTACTTCAGCATCATTACTGATCTTCTGACATGTAATGTCTGTAGCAGGCATAGGTTGGTGCTTGTCAGAGAGGGAAAACATAACTGGAAAATTATATTGTACCAGCAGGTTGGCCTGCTTAATTCGACTATACAGATCACAGTACAGTTTGAGAGGAACCTTCTCCACCAGAAGTTACCTACTGCATGGAAGAGACAAACTTTTCACACTGACGCCATGCAAATGCTTCCCCATGTAATTTCAGCTAAGCTTTGGGATGCCTATGCATGCGTCACATCTGCCCACGTAACACTACCAAGTAAATCCTCAGTACATCCGCCAAGCTCCACACCCAGGCGTTCAGCTGGAACACAGTTATCCTCTAAAAACTTCAACAAGAAGTGTGTTTGTAATAGACCACCTTACTGGAGTCATGCAAGCAACCATGCTGGTCATACTCCCAGTGTAAAATGAAGACACTGTGGCTCCATGTGGGTGTCTGAAAATCTTGGAAAAAGAATGAATTAAAATGTGGTGAAGAAAACTGTGAGATTTAAATCCCGAAGCTATTCAGTTCTGTGATATTTTTCTCTGTACAGTCAGCCTATCCCTATCAAGAATAGATTTCTCTCTATTGCAAGTTCCTGTGGAATGGAAAGTGCACGCACATCAGAGCACTGGCCATCACAGCTGTCACTGGCTGACAGTTGTGATTCTGAATGTCTTTCTAAATGAGTTTTCTAAAAGTATATATATATTACATTGTCATATCACATGTATTTGTTATACTAGAAAGGCTTTTCCCAACCCTGCTATTTAGGCAAAAAGTTTAGTTTTAGGATCTTAGGTACTGCTTTGGACAAGGATAATGAAGTGAGTCTTTTTAAAAATATAATACAGTGTCATAGCACAAATAAACAGACCATGCCTATGACTTTTCTCTAGGCTCAGGACTGAAGTTTAGGCTGGAATGAAGGAGACACGCTGTGTTTGGGAAAGAAAACAATGCAAGTTCAAAAGGTCTTTTTGACTGATGAGTGAGTTTCTGACTGTTGAACTTTTAGGACCAATTTCTAATGACACAAAAATATACCCCTGTATAAATCATCAGTTCTGTTCTTTGTGGAAATCTTCCAGCATTTAGGTATTTAGAGAGAGTTTTCTTCCTTTATCATTCTTTGTTCAATGCCTGTATTCAGTCAAGTAGCTTTTTCAGGCTCAAAGAAGGTACTCCAAAAGGATATATTCTAAAGAAGCCTGGAAGTAAGTTCCCAATACAGCTTCACACCTCCCCAGATGCTCGTTTCAAATTAATCATCTGTTCTGGGGACAGCAGATGGAAAATAACGTTCCTGATAAAATGGGTCTAATGAGAGCTGGAGGAACCGTACTGACTGCTAATTTTGCAAGAAGTCCTAAAGAGATTTTTGATTGGATAAATGGGGAATATTGACGTTTAGTCTGCAAAAAAAATCCTCCCACTTCTCTGATACTGAGGAACTCTGACCAAGCAGATGACTGTCCAATCTGTTTTAATTTTGGCCTCCTCGAATTTAGGATTTGGGAATGACACTTGGCTTTATTTCTCAGTCACAGAAGCGAGGTGACGGCCTGATTTGAGTTCCGCACCACAGCTCCAAATCCTAGCATCTTTCTTCTGAGCTGCCAGAAAGAGGACAGAAAAAGGAGGAAGTACTTCTCACTTTCTGTGATACAAGCCAAAAGGACATTATAGGATCTCTTTTATGGTATCTCCCTCAAGAGAAAGGCACCTGAAGCAGCTCTGCAATCAGTTCCTACAGTAGGTCCTACCTAAACTGCTTTTTCTGGTGCTGTGCTGTTCTCCTCTGACCCCTCATTTTATACCCTTCCATCATCAGCCTTTTTCTGTCCTGTGTTTTACCTGTCCAGTTATACCTTCTTTAGCCCATACTTCTCTCTCTCTCTCTCAGGTCTTCCTCTCTTCCTTCCTCTCATACACCTTTCCCAATTTTCTCCTTCATTTATTTTAGGCTTGTCTGTTGCAAAGAAAGTAGAACCTGTCTAGCATACAGTTACGATAAAAACCATGAACTAATTTTCCCTAAAATAGATCAACCCTCTTTATAGCTCTCTTAAGTAACCACATTCCTAGCCATCTCCCTCCCTCCCTTCTCAGAAGCACAATGCACTCCCTGCTGTCCTCTTTTTCCTGCACCCCCCCAGCACAGGCTGCTCCTGCCATAAGCCATCGTCCTTTCAATAGGAGCAGTATTATTTTTGGTGCAGCAGGAACTTCATCCTGCCCTAGTTCATGCGGTGTACTTTGCCTTCTTTCTTCCTTGCATGATTTGTTGCCGCAGCTTATCATCACACGCGTTCTGCTCCCCTTCTGCTACTGCTTCAAAGCACTCCAGATTTTTTGATTTACCTCTCCTACTGCTCCAAGACGCTTAGTGATGCAGAGAACCTCCTACAGCCAGAAAGTAACTGTGATTTTTAGCGATGATGTTTGCTCTAACTATTTAAAGCACACTTAAGAAGACACATAATAAGTAGGTTTGAGGGAAGTGGTAGCAATCCACCCACTACGTTCCTTTTAGCTAACCCTTTAATTAAATATTAAAGATATGGTTCTCAGGAAGATTTAAAATAACCCACTGACAG